GTGCCGACGAGCTATTTTTACACTTTTTCNGTCGCGCTGTGGAATATTTAGGCTGATCTAAACATCGGCAACCCGGCCAATTGTGGAGTTATATTGTAGGGAAGCTCGGGACAGCAAAAAACCGGGTCGAAAACGGAGCATCTGGAAGCCAACGGGAAATGTGCAGTTTTCCCAATGCATCTTTCCGCGACTCTTGCTGAGGCTAATGCAATGTAAGCCCGAGTCAAGAGTCGCCGCGGCTATGATGCTTCAAAGTTTCGGTGTCTCAAAATATACATTATGTATAACGATATTAGCATTTAAACCACAAGGTTTGCATATATCCATCTCAAAGTCACACCGCTACAGGTAAGGGGTCACAAACCTAATCTGGGGATCAGATCAGGAACACAACTTATTGACATGGTTGAGGACTGCAGTGCAGCTATAATTCTTGTGCGGTCCGGAATACACGAGGGATAAACCCTTGGGCTGAGACTTCTTGAACTTTCTGCGTTGATTGTGGTAATGCATATGATTCAGTTTCAGTGATGTTGTTGTTGGCATCCTTCCGTCTCGGAAGACGATCTCGTTCAGTTCGTCTTTAGACATCTCCGGCTGTGACTGTTAAGGTAGCAGAACACAGTTTTCGCCCTATGGGGATTTCTATAGTTAAGGACCCCAAGATGACTCACTTCGACGCGGTAAAAATTATAGCAGGGTGCACTTCACAAATACGAAAATCGAATATGTTTGAGAAGAAGGTACAAACTACAAAATATCTAGAAACCAAAAAATCCTGTCGGCGTATCTGCTCGTAACATACACTTTGAAATCACCCCCTACGGACGTGACCTGAACTGCAGCCGACTCACCCGGAAAGCCAGTTGCGCAATACGGCGCGTTTATACACGAACTGCAAAACCTTCACAATTCAAATCACACAGTCTCAAACCCGATACATTCCTACACCACACAGCACAATTTACATCTGGCTGACGCTCTTATCAGGCTTTCTACCCATCCTTCAAGAATATTCGCTGCACTACTTTCTATACCCGCGTCATCGTCCCCGGGGGTCGCCCATTAATACTGTGTTCTGCTACCTTAAGTGAAGTCCAATTGTTTTCATCTTGATTTCAAATAAAAATTGATTGATTTCAGTTTCAATGTTGATTTCAAATGCTTGGTTTTCAAATTGGTTGGTTGGTTGGTTGGTTGGTTGGTTGGTTGGTTGGTTGGTTGGTTGGTTGGTTGGTTGGTTGGTTGAACAATAATTGCTATGGCAACGATCGCGAATGATTATTGGGTGTCTGATAGCGTCAGCCTGTGTGCCATCCAAATCTCAACCAAGTGCAAGGAGACATCCAAGCTACTAGTATCTGATGGTGGCTTTTGGGCCCCCTATCTTCGTGTTTTGGAACTGCAGGGGCTCTGTCCAAGAAGGCTAAGAAATTATATTGAAAGGCTTTCCAGCACTTAGACCTTGTAGAGTGTGAGTTGGCCAGCCAATAATACTATAAAAATCAATGCTTGAAGTCCATGGAGGATGCCTAAAGAATCAATTGACCTAATCTCCAAGCAGATCCTAGGGTGTCAAATTGGCTAGGCAGTATCCCTTCACCAGAGAGGGTCCATACAGGGCAACCTTCTCTGGCAAATGGATACTGCCTGGCCAATTTGACACCGTCTTTTGCCACCCTAGGATCTACTTGGAGATTACAATTGACCCAGAATTTTTATGACTGAAAGTCTTAGGCCTGTCACTGTGTGAGCATATCTTTGCTATATTGTGTAATAGCAACTATCAATACCACATGCAGTGGTTATACATTACCAAACATGAAAACTATACAGGTTCTGAAAAGACACATCCAAACTGGTATAATGTTTTTTTTTTGTTGTGAAGGAATTCAATTTCTTAATTTATGTGAGAATTGGAAATCTACACAAGGTTGTTGCATGAATGACGTCCTTTCAAACATTTGCTGAAACCTAATATGACACACTGTGACATCATCCTGTTATCCTAACTGATATATTTTTGTTGCAAAGGAATTTCTTGATTGTTTAGCTACGTGAGAATTGGAAATCTACAAAAGGTTGTTGCGTGAGTGACGGCCTTTCAAACATTTGCTGAAAGCTTATAACATACGGTGACATCATATGATTATAATCTATTGGTCCCTGGAGTGTTGGGTACTGTCATTTCACAGTGCGTGCCATGAATAATGAAGAGAGGTCAGTCCCTATGTTTTGAATGCTGACCTACTTTAAGACCTCCCTATTGTTCTTGTAATGGCTGAGTCACCAGGGGGTATTTACCTCTGTTATTTTCTGTCTCTTGGTAGTCAGCCAGCAATAATAATAGGACAGGTGCCTACCAGGGAGTGTCATTAAAGCAGGCGTATTTTGTTTCATGGGCCACTATGAGCACATTTTGTTTGTGAAAAGACAAAATTTTCTTTTTTTAATCTTTGTAAAAGAACATGACAAGTCTGCACTGTCACCCCCTCAGCATGAGGTAATTATGTAGGTCACCTGTTTGAAAAGAGTGCATAACTTGATAAATGTGACATAATGGCTACTATAACTTATCCTATACCCCATAGAAACTAAAAGGATCTGTCATCTTGGGTTGGCAAGATTTTGATGCACTGTCTTTGGTAATGTTTTATGATGCATAAATATGAATTTCAAAATGACCAAAGACATCACATAAAAATTTTATAATTTCTAAAGCCTCCAGAGTATTTCAATGTATGTCAATAGTGTCCTGTAGAAAATTTCAACGTATCAGTATATAAAGAAAAGAAAATCAAATGCACACAATACATTTGGGAGTGAAGCTACTTTTATTAGATTTTTACAATGCCTATACTGCTTCCATACAAGCCATATCATATAATTTCTTGAAACCTTTACAAAAATAGTGTAGAAAAGTAGTTTCACTTAGTTAGATTGAGGTATATTGAAACCATTTTGAAGAGTCGCTCCTATCAATTTGAGGACGGATGAAAATTGCTTGCAGTTACACACATTTGATAATAATTTTTCTTCTGAATACATGTATGTAATATATTCAACATGCAAGTGAAGAGGTCTTCAGTTGGTAAAATGCTGGTTGTCTAGGCCAAGTTGGACCATAGATTTTGTATGTATAAAAGTGATTCATACAATGAAAATCCATATTTTATGAAAGACATTTCACTTTAAATTTGTAGATTTCATACATGTTTTGAATTATTTGAATACAGTATTTCTATTCCATTGTGCACTTTTGACCATTTTTAACTTCAATAGGAAAAGCAAACAAACAATAGCTATCTATACTGTATCAGCTGTGTTAAATGGTGTATGATAAAGTCCATTTTCACGATGTGCATAAAATGGCAAGGAATACATGTCCAATAAATGTGTATCCTCAAAGGCTATATAATATAGCTTTGTTGGTAACTACATAGAGTCTATCATGATACTAGTACATGACAACTGACTGATACTGATGTTATGTATGGGGAAACTGGCAGAAGTCATTCATCACTGAAAGCCATCTACCGGTACTTAAATACAGATGGATACTTCCAAGTACATTGTACATTTCACTCTTGTTGGAGATGATGCTTTGTGTAGCTAACGTCAAAGTCTTTGGTACAATAATGATAAAGGTGTCATAATATTGCATCACGCCATACTGGAATCTGCTATGATATTGATATCAAAAGTGCTTATAGGTGTATCTATTAGACAAATAGTGCATTGTAACTACTGCATTTAAGTATATACAATGGGCAACAATGAAGATCTCCAGTCAAATAAGCCCAGATACATTCAGGGTACAAAACTGCTCAGCAGTAGCACCAGTATGTATTACTTAAAGAACTTCATTTGATCAACAGCACTCATTTCTCAGCTCCTTTGTGAATTTCTGTCATTTGTGAAATGGGTACACATATTCTTACAATAATTTGCACTTCTACATATACAGTAAATTGTGTATATTGACAAAATATTCCCTATTAATTAATACACCATATAGACTATAAAAGCTGTAATTAAGCAATAAAAAAATCTACGAGATGCTTCTGCTACAAAATGTACAACATATACACCTTTGTACATGATAGCCAACTTGGCAAGAAAAGAATGGAAAATTATTTACTATTCTACTATTCTGATATACTGGTCAAACACTCATTGAGTGTGCATGGTTATGTGAAGGGCACAGTACACTCCCCTCCCCCCCCCCCATATTTCTATATTTGAATACGAGGTCTGAACTTGTAAAAAGGACTGTCATACCACAATTGGCAGGAATCTTTGCAATGTATATCAACGGTTTTAAGGCACCTTTCAAAGACTCCTATTCCAGAGGCTATCTTAGACTGTTATAAGTTTGTAATACTGATGTGTTTGACATGTATATGGCAATCCAGCGAAATGTATGGTTCTGAGATGACAGGCTCATGTAAATATTGCATCACCCAAATAAAAAGAAGGATAACCAGTGTAATATTGCCCAATGTTGTCTTTCTCACTTCAGGTACATTGTGGAATTGTAAGGTGTTGTTTTGCCTGGTGGAAACTGAGGACTTAGGTTAATGATGAGTTTAGTGTGTCTTTATTGCACATGCACCCATCGAATTGCTCAAAAGTTGTCCCACTCCCAGAATCAAGAAGATAAGTCTATTTTGGAATACATGACAATAATAAAGCAATCTGTGTCTTTCACAAGGCATGAAATAAAGTTTCTATTGCATAGTATATAAATTTTGTGACTAGACAAAATATTTGTGTACATAATTATTATTTAGTGTGCCCATGATGGACACCCAGTGACTGCCAGGTGTTCTTTACTCTGCTGCTGGAGCTTGTTCCTCTGCAGGTGCTTCTGTGGCTTCAGGTGCTGCAGCTGTAGCACAAAGAAAAGGGGGGTTAGATTTGAAACTAACATGTAAGTACAGTAATTTAAGGTGACACATGGACATTCTCTATCTTTCACCGCATTTCTACTGTTCTTTCAGTCACAAACTGTTGACTTTTACTGTGCCATAAAGTTTAAGTGCTGCTAACCTAGTAAATTTACAGTATAACATGATTGTTGCTATTGTCAGTACAGTTCTGTGCGCCTACCTTCAGCCTCTGCAGGAGCGTCTGTAGCTTCCTGTGTTTCCTCCTTGTTCGCTTCTTCCCCACCCTCTGCAGCAGCTGGCTCTGCCGCTGGCTCTTCTGTAGCTGCAAACAAAACAGTAAAATTTCAACTTTCAGATGAAACAATCAAACTTCTTGTTGAAAGCTCCAGACTTGTGACGTGAAGAGTACATCACAACCATGTAAGTCTAACATCAATGACATATCAAGTGTGGAGTCTACATCATACAAAAGAAAACAACTGGGTAAGGTGTTTAACACAGTCAGACATTTCAGACAGTATCCATTAGGTCTTTTATCAGTGACTGTTTAACATTTACTTTGTATAATGTACTATGTACCTAGCCTGGACGTCTGACTTTCATTGACGTATCAAGGTCTAGTGAGGACAAGGACAACATTTACTTATCAAACACACTGAGTGTATACACCATGAAATAATCTTAAGGTCTGAGAACATAAAGTGCTTTGTTCTGAAAAATTTTACACAGCATACGTTAATTATTACACCATGGATACATTGCCAGTTCCATAAGTGACTTACCAGGTGCTTGTTCTGTAGACTCTGCTGGCTGTTCTGTGGATTCTGCCGCTGGTTCTGTAGCGGCTGGTGTGTCCTCTGCTGCCGCCTGCTCTGTTGTTTCTCCTGCATCTTCTGTAAACAATCAACAAAATACGCAATGAGCAAAACTTGCAACACGTAAGTTAACCACTGTCACTGTCACTGAGTTATGCCAGCAACTATAAGAGAAAAGAATCTATTTTCATTCTTCAAATTTTATTTCTATTCTGATAACCATCTCAGTCATTGTGCAAGAAAAATTTCAGAGATGTTTTCTGAAATGTTTACCTGACAACGGAAATTCAACTTTATCTTGTTACACCATTATTAAATTTACACATCATTGCTTCCATGCAGTTAAGGTAGGGCAGTTGCATTGTAATATCAGCCATTGAAAACACATTATGCTTTGCCTCATTAGAGAATGACCTTTTTAATTAGCACAAGCATTGCTGGTGTAACATGATAGATGTTAGGACATGGTGGGCGATGGTTTATCTTGTCTGCACAAACACCTGTCTCACCTGGTTTGCTTTCTGTCTGTTCCGCTGGTGCATCTGATGTGCCCTCTCCTTCGGTTACAGGCTTTTCTTCATCTTTCTTCTCTTCTGCCGAGGACAAAAGTGCATCAAATGTCACAACAACTCGAGTGATTGCACCATCGTTACACCTTTTGTTAATGCCCCTCCTGTCATGTTGTGGTATAAATCGTTATTGTTAACCAAGTAGCATAACAAACATTTGCACTCAAAACAAGGTCGTAGTCAACACATGCAGGGAGGCGAATAAACATGTGACCCAAATCAGCCAAGCAAGTCTGTATCCATAGTAAACATTGGTAACCATGTAAACACCCTAGCTGAGAACAAAGCCAGCTGGGCCTTAAACCGGGTGTGCATGACAGGTGGAATTTACAAGGACCAACGCAGTAACATAACAAGGTTTTTGGGGGCTGGTAAAATACGAACCTTAATGATAAAGCACTGGGGTTTAGAAAGAATGTTTTGGAGTTTTGGAAATTTGATGGGATTTAAATTGATTGGATTTAAGTTTTCATGATAATCTTATTTCCTAACGTTATACATCACAAAAGCGGAGAAAGCACATGACATAGCCAACATAAGCCCCTATATGGTAGTCTAGGAGAAGGAAGGCAAGCTTAGAGGTAAGCCTGGCCCTATATTAGGCTCAAGCTCTAATGTTGCCATAATACAGTACTTAGCTGGGACAAAAACACTTAACAGTAGGCATGGTGATAACTTTCTATGCTGCACAACAATCCAAAATGGACTTCGCACTCTTTAAGTGCTACTTTGTCATTCCCAAAGAATGCAAACCTTAAGAAACTTAAACACTGGGCCCCACTCAATCCCTTCTTTATAACATTGCCATTAACGCTACCAGAGAGTTGACTTTTATGATCACTTGCAATCTTCTACATTGTAGCTGGAACAAAAAGGTCTGTAAGCCCGTCGGGGAAGTCTCAAGTGCACTACAAGGTCGACTGTATCAAACTAAGGCCATGTTAAACAGAAGCTGGTGACAATACAAAAACAGTGCGTGCCATAGAGTTCAGTTGAAACAAAGGATACTACACCTTTACAGATGTACACCTGTTACTGATCTTATTCACCTGAACATTTGGCTAACATTTGTCCACCTACAAAGGGAGCATTCAGTTGTTTCAACAACGTCCTCTCCCCCGCCACTTGACGGTTCTCCAGTCAGGTTAGTTTAGATGGCGGGAGCTTCCGTGTGTAACGTGTACACGAACAAGTCAGTTCAAGCGGAAACCCGGAGTTTCTAATTTCTACCCACAATTTTAAGACTGACAGCCGGTAGAATTTTTTGGTGGCCTTTCCAAGCAAATATCTAAATAGCTACTCGGTGTCTTTAGGTGGTTGAATGTGTCCCGAGACTTTACCGTAAAATATCGTCTGATTCAGTTTCCTGACGGAAATGATGGCGGGAACACGTTTGTCGTGGGCGACCCACCTGTTGTCCAAACCCATTCTCTACGTTTCCCCGATATTACGTGCCCCTGTATGTACATTAAAAATGTTCACAATGGTGTCCACAATTTCCTTACAAAACGTACATGGCATGAGACTTATTTTTACCGCTTCCTGCATTCAATATCACGTCCCTAATTTCTATCTACACACCAATCTAACATCTTGAGGTAAATCAACGCAACCCAAGTGTTCAGGCAATACGTGCCTGAGCTGACATGACACCTGTTTGAATATGGCGTGGACGTAAACTTTACCTTCATTTGTGTCCTGTTCCTCCTTCTTGGGGTCTGTATCAATGACAGGCGTCTCTTCCGAAGCTGGAGGGTCCTCTCGAACGGTCGGCTTGACCGCGGCTTCCTTAGGTGCCGAGCCCGGCCTGGTGTTTTTTGGCGGGCTCTGGGGGCGAGTTTGGTTCGCTTGCGTGCTGCTCGAGCAACCCATCTTGACTTTAAAACCTCGCGAATATATACACCAAAGAGTGATGTAGAAATGAAAGGTCCTGTCTTTGAGATGGTCGTTCTGGTAACTAAAGCCCACCCCGACGTCTCGAGTGTTTTGGGAAAGCGGCGGTTGCCCAGCAGACACGCGCAGGGGCAAGACAATTTCCCCTGTTTATTTGTTATGACCCGGTTACCACAGTGACATATTTGCATTGTCGTCCGCGAAATCTCATTACATTTACTCACTGCATGATTTATGACTTGAACAATGGTTTCGCGCGACAGGGGACCGGCTGAGTGTACCTTGTTTAATTTGAGGCGAGTGACAGAAATTTAGTTAGTTTCGACTTTTTTAAGGCTTAAAGAATTTAGTGGGGAGTGTCATTGTTGTGACCTACAAAAGCAGACGGTATTACGTGTGGGAAAAGCTGGAAGGCATGGCGACCCGTGGATAATAGGGGTGTATTTTATAGTTTCCCTGCTAAAATCCTGTGGGAAAACGTGCCCTGGCGTGACCACCGAGGATTCAGAAGGTTGTGGTTACCGACCAACGTTTGCGCATGAATGGAGACCCTGACCATGATACCTCATCTCCAAGCAGATGTACGGTTTTGTGGGCCTTGTCCCCGCCAGCAAACCTCGTACACAAGTGGTGTACAAGGCATACTGTGCAGGGAAAAAACACAGCACTTAAAAAAACACACAAACAAGCCGAAGCCATACAAATGACAGAAGAGGAAGGAGACAGAAGGGTACAATAACCGTAAATGCAATGGTCGTCACCATTGCCCCGTACAGTACATCATGCCAATTGGGAATCTCCATACAGTTGATTTTGCTGTAAGAGAATGCAGGCGTTGTACAGTATTGAATTTGTAAAAGTGGTAAATATTTGTCTCTCATTTTGTGTAATATTTTCAAAATCCAGAGCTACAGTGAATCATGTTTATTATACCCAAGTTCAGATGTCAAGATGTGTTTCTAACTTTGCATAAGTCCTTAAGTACTTTAAGCTTGTAGCGAGGGCATTGTGCAAGTCTTTGCTTTAAGGTGCCAGGGTCAATGATAGCACATTGTGTGAATAGTGCACATGGAAAAATAGGAATTGTGTCACCACGGCGGTTTAGTGTACTGTATATGCTGTATAGTTTTTTTTTTTTTACAATGACTGAGCATGTGTTGTTTTCCGAACAGCCTTAGCTTGTAATACAATTAGCTTCACCAAGAAGCTTATGTTTTCCGCAGTGTTTGTACGTATGTCGTTAAGCACGATAACTCATGAAGCTTTTGATGTATTTTCATTAAACTTAGTAGGTGGGTACGTTTTCATGAGGCCTATGAATGATTTTGGACCCCCTGGTGGCTTTCCTTGGCACTGCAGCAGAACTTCCGGTTTGGTATCTTTCAAACAGATAGCCCTGCAGTTCCTGAGCAAGCCGCTAGGGGGCCCAAACTCACGCCACTTCTTCCGCAGCAAAAGAGCTACCTACCATCCAAATTTCGTCACCCCAGTATGTGTAGATCATGAGATATCAAAACCGGAAGTTCAGCTGCAGTACCATAACAAGCCGCTAGGGGGTCCAAAATCTAATTATTTTCAGGTCTCATCAAGATCTACCCACCTACCAAATATCAAGATCATCCATCTAAGCTTTCTCAAGTTATGCTGTGTTGACAGACGATAGGCTATTAAAAACTCATCTGAGGACCTGGAACCCCCAAGCCATCCGCTACTGGATAAGGGCATGGAGATAACAAGTATTTAGAGGTCAATAACAGGTCAAACCATGAAAAATGTTACTCTATTTTAAAAATATACACTCTTCTGTCCTTCTTACCAGAAAACTGGGCCTTTCTGAGCAAAATTTGCCCAGGAAAAAAATTATCTAAAAGAAGTATCTGTATCTGTATAGCCGGTATAACCGCCTTTCGGCGTAACACACCAGCTTCGCAGGCACGCGGCGCGGCGGCAGCTGGCTATATTACACCGATCGACTTGTTACACCTACGAGCCAAAATAAATCGTGTACACACTGCTAGTTCTGCGCATGACTGGCTGGTCCCTCCCCTTACAGTAGCAGAACACAGTTTTCGCCCTATGGGGATTTCTATAGTTAAGGACCCCAAGATGACTCACTTCGACGCGGTAAAAATTACAGTAGGGTGCATTTCACAAACACCAAAATCAAATATGTTTGAGAAGAAGGCACAAACCACAAAGTATCTAGAAACCAAAAAATCCTGTCGGCGTATCTGCTCGTAACGTACACTTTGAAATCGCCCTCTACGGACGTGACCTGAACTGCAGCTGACTCACCCGGAAAGCCAGTTGCGTAATACGGCGCATTTATACACGAACTGCAAAACCTTCACAATTCAAATCATACAGTCTCAAACCCGATACATTCCTACACCACACATCGCAATTTACGTCTGGCAGGCTTTCTACATGTACGTATACCCAGCCTTCAAGAATATTCGCTGTACTACTTTCTATACCCGCGTCACACACCCCGGGGGTCGCCCATTAATACTGTGTGCTGCTACCTTACAGCATTGCTAGCTCTGTTCTTTGGGCATAGCAAAAAAGACCCATTTTACACAATTTTATAGTGGTGTATGCCAACTATGTCTTAAGTTCATTTGGCATTTGCCTAAGGCACATCTATAACAAATTTGCCTAAGGCACATCTGTAACAAATTTGGTTTTAATACAAGGGCATAAAAGCATTTTGTCTGGAAAGAGCAGAAAAAACTTATTTTACACAAATTCAAAGTAGTGTTTACAAAAAATGTGAGTATAGCTCTTTGGGCATACTTCAAAGGCACTCCTATACCAAATTTTAGGTCATTTGGTTGTAATAAAGAAGGTCACAGGAGCCACAAATGTGCATTTTTTTGTCTGAAAATAGCAGAAAAGACCCGTTTCACACCATTTTCAAGTGATGTATGCCAAAGCTGCAAAATGTCATTCTTTGAGCATATGCTCAATGCACCCCTGTACCAAATGACGAATTCTACATTCCGTATTTCCGTAGAAAGACATGGCACAGGCTAGGTAAATAGAATGTTGCTTCGTTCACAAAATGACTCTCTGACCACTATAACTACGATAATCATCTTCAAAAAGCCTACACTATACATACACACAACACCCACCAAAACAATATCACACTTTCGAAGGCATGAGCCCTCCAAACTCTAGTTTACAATGTTTTTTTACTCTTTCAGACCTGAGTATTCGTCGTCAAGCATAATAAAAGTGACACTTTCACAGTCTAAAACTTAGATAAGCCCGATGGATTTAAAGGCCACCTAGCTATTAAACAAAAGCGTTACTAATCAAATAAGGTGTGTATTGTGTACATGTTGTACACCTGTTGAAACCGTTGTAAAATAAGAACCAGCAGTCAGGCCGGCGCCGTTTCACACACTTGTCTTTAATTGAAATAAATGTTTAGATGAAAGAAATATCTTCTTGAGGTTGAATGATCCGTAAAAGAAAAATGGTAAATTATAACAAAAGCCTTGTTCATGTGAAGTCACCCAAACCGCGATTCGGGTAACTCGCATTCCGCACATCTGGTCCACGTGCCATACATTCCTTGCAAAACGTGTCCGATCACAATTCTCCGAAACTGCATTCATTGTTGTTTGATGAAAACACGCAAGGTGGCGTGTTATCAAGGAGTCAACGACCTGCTTGCTGGTGCCCCCCTCCCAGCGTATCTCGGCCGAATGCCGACGAGGCGGTGAAGCTCGTCCTAGAACGGACACATTATTTGACCATTACTTCTCTTTATATTAAAGTTGCAGCCACGTAAAATTTGGTATTGCATATAAATAAAGAAATGTCACCCCGTAATCCATGACCAGGCGAAGTGACATTGAAATCACATTGCGTTCAGACGCAAATCGCGATCCAGGAAAACCGATTCGAAACCACCACTAAAAGTGGTTTGGGATCGAGGCGCTTTCAATGTGATTTGGTATGTTCAGATGGAGCCACTTGAAACCGGCTTCGGGGTAAACCACATGTAAAGCGCCATCACTGACTTCACATGAACGCGGCCAAAATCGTGGTAACTTTGCCTCACGGAATGGTGATTGTCTGTAACATTATGATCAATTTCATTTTTCAACTTAATTGATAATTGAAAAATTTGCAACTCCTGATGATTCATTATCCGGTGCATGGTAGGACCACGCCGTTTCAAGATGGTGAGTGTGTTTGGAAGGGGCAGAACTCGGCGGTTAAAATTCGCCTTGGAAGACGCGCCACGTCCGTTTAGGTGTCCTTTATATTCTCGTAATCATTGTAAGTGAATGTATTGCAATGAAATGACGCAAAGACACAGAGAAGTGTTAATTATTTACTGTGACATTTCCCTGGGTTTCATTCTTCGACAACAGTAAAACGGCCGCTAGAGGGCGCCCCTTTCCGTGCCCCGACATACCCGTAGCCAGGATTTTGAATGGGGGGGGGGTTCGTTCCCCCCGAGGCTCCTAGGGGGATCCGGGGACATGCTCCCCCGGGAAATTTTGAAAGAAATGAACCTTCTAAAATGGCATTTCGTGCGTTTTTAAAAGGATTTGAAAGGGAAAAATCTGAGATAAATTTTTATTCAACGACGAAGGGAGCAGTTTTTCTACGATTCCAGTCCATCTTTTCAAAAAAATCTTGGACATAAAAAGTGGACCAAAAAGTGGACCTTTGAGCCTTGTGGGGGGGTTCTTCGAGCCCCCCTGGCTACGGGCATGGCAAGGATGAAGATCAGGGAGGGCTACAAGTGGGGGCAAGGATGAAGATCAGGGAGGGCTACGAGTGGGGGCAAGTATGAATATCAGGGAGGGCACCGGTGGGGGCAACAAGGGATGAAGATCAGGGAGGGCTACGAGTGGGGGTAAGGATGAAGATCAGGGAGGGCTACGAGTGGGGGCAACTAAGGATGAAGATCAGGGAGGGCTACGAGTGGGGGCAAGTAAGGAATGAAGATCAGGGAGGGCAACGAGTGGGGGCAACTAGGGATGAAGATCAGGGAGGGCTACGAGTGGGGGCAAGGATGAAGATCAGGGAGGGCTACGAGTGGGGGCAACTAGGGATGAAGATCAGGGAGGGCTACGAGTGGGGGCAACTAGGGATGAAGATCAGGGAGGGCTACGAGTGGGGGCAAGGATGAAGATCAGGGAGGGCTACGAGTGGGGGCAAGGATGAAGATCAGGGAGGGCTACGAGTGGGGGCGAACTAGGGATGAAGATCAGGTAGGGCTGCGAGTGGGGGCAAGGATGAAGATCAGGGAGGGCTACGAGTGGGGGCAACTAGGGATGAATATCCTTTAGGGCTACGAGTGGGGGCAACTAGGGAAGATCAGGGAGGGCTACGAGTGGGGGCAACTAGGAATGAAGATCAGGGAGGGCTACGAGTGGGGGCAAGGATGAAGATCAGGGAGGGCTACGAGTGGGGGCAACTAGGGATGAAGATCAGGGAGGGCTACGAGTGGGGGCAAGGATGAAGATCAGGGAGGGCTACGAGTGGGGGCAACTAGGGATGAAGATCAGGGAGGGCTACGAGTGGGGGCAAGGATGAAGATCAGGGAGGGCTACGAGTGGGGGCAACTAGGGATGAAGATCAGGGAGGGCTACGAGTGGGGGCAAGGATGAAGATCAGGGAGGGCTACGAGTGGGGGCAACTAGGGATGAAGATCAGGGAAGGCTACGAGTGGGGTGCAAGGATGAAGATCAGGGAGGGCTACGAGGTGGGGGCAAGGATGAAGATCAGGGAGGGCTACGAGTGGGGGCAACTAAGTGATGAAGATCAGGGAGGGCTACGAGTGGGGGCAAGGACGAAGATCAGGGAGGGCTACGAGTAAGGGGCAAGGATGAAGATCAGGGAGGGCTACGAGTGGGGGCAACTAGGGAAGAAGATCAGGGAAGGCTACGAGTGGGGGCAACTAGGGATGAAGATCAGGGAGGGCTACGAGTGGGTGCAACTAGGGATGAAGATCAGGGAGGGCTACGAGTGGGGGCAAGGATGAAGATCAGGTAGGGCTACGAGTGGGGGCAAGGATGAAGATCAGGGAGGGCTACGAGTGGGGGCAACTAGGGATGAAGATCAGGGAGGGCTACGAGTGGGGGCAAGGGGATGAAGATCAGGGAGGGCTACGAGTGGGGGCAACTAGGGATGAAGATCAGGGAGGGCTACGAGTGGGGGCAACTAGAGATGAAGATCAGGGAGGACTACGAGTGGGGGCAAGGATGAAGGATCAGGGAGGGCTACGAGTGGGGGCAACTAGGGATGAAGATCAGGGAGGGCTACGAGTGGGGGCAAGGATGATGATCAGGGAGGGATACGAGTTGGGGCAAGGATGAAGATCAGGGAGGGCTACGAGTGGGGGCAAAGATGATGATCAGGGAGGGCTACGAGTGGGGGCAACTAGGGATGAAGATCAGGGAGGGCTACGAGTGGGGGCAACTAGGGATGAAGATCAGGGAGGACTACGAGTGGGGGCAACTAGGGATGAAGATCAGGGAGGGCTACGAGTGGGGGCAAGGACGAAGATCAGGGAGGGCTACGAGTGGGGGCAACTAGGGATGAATATCCTTTAGGGCTACGAGTGGGGGCAAGGATGATGATCAGGGAGGGCTACGACTGGGGGCAAGGATGAAGATCAAGGAGGGCTACGAGTGGGGGCAACTAGAGATGAAGATCAGGGAGGACTACGAGTGGGGGCAAGGATGTAGATCAGGGAGGGCTACGAGTGGGGGCAAGCCAACGAAGTGGAACGAGCCAATATTCTTACCGGGAAGTAGCAATGTTCTTAATATGTTCTCATTACAAGCCATGAGATGACTAGACAATAGATTATTCAAAAGTTTGAGCCTAATCTTCATAACTATATCGGGACACTGTTGACAAAAAGAGCATAGCAGGGGGTTTAATTAAGTATAACACACTTCTCTTAAGTGCTGAGCAGCATGTATCTCTTTGGTCTCCCCAAAAGCATTTACTGTCACTGTACCCACCTGAAGGATATCACATAAACCGCCACAAGCTTAAGTTTAATTGTAGCTGGGAGTGCATGATTGTACAGGTCGGCAGTCAAAACAGTGTAAATCTCACCCCACTGTCACTTGTCCACGAAAATGCTTTCAAATATTCCCATTTCTCCAATGATTACATTTGTCTCTATTTGATACTAGGTTCTTAAGTAACTGTTGGTTCTGAGTTTGCAAGTGCACTTGTAAAACATTCATGTACTACAATGACCTGCACAATGTAACAGGATCTCAAACACATTAAGACAACATACAATCATGTAGTTGAGATTACTAAATAAAACTAAGGATTTTGATATCTAAAAAATGCACTGTTAAAATCTGAAAAAAAATCTGAAAATAAAACTAAGGATTTTGATATCTAAAAAATGCACTGTTAAAATCTGAAAAGAACTGTTGGACAAGGAAGATTGAATACAACACATGCTCATAGTTTCCCAGCTTACAAAGTTTGTAAATAGGTAAGGTCTGCTGACAGTCCCAGAACCTACATCCAATGGTACCTACATCCAATGGTACCTACATCCAATGGTATCATCTTACTACCTAATACATGTACATGTATAACTCTTTACTACATGTATATGATAAAAGTCTTAAATGTTACTCACAAAATCATAAACTATTAGATACATTTCAAAATATACAGACGTATAATACAATGTAATAAGTACACACCTATAGATACTGATGATACATGTATAAGTCAAGAGATATTGAACAAATCCTAACACGGTGATTATGAAGTTTTTATGAAGTTTGGTCATATATCACATGTTTTCAAGTGTAACTGGCTGAATGCCACTAGGACATATGAGGTGGATATGGGTTTGACACACAAAGCAATAAAAATAGTCAATATACAATGTAATTACAAAATTGGCCTTAGGCCACACCAATTTAATTCTTGGTTAACGGATTCGCCCGCTTCATTTTTTTCTGATTTGCAAATGAAAATAAAAATTCAGAATCAACTGCAGTTATTCTATCTTTCAATGCAATGGTATCATTAAAAGTTCAAAATTCATTTTGTAAATTTTGAACCAGCCTGGTGTGTTGACTTCATGGCTCCTATCGTTCCGTTTTGAGCCATAATAGGATGCCTGGGCCTGTTTTTATTATTATTTTTTTCGCCCTCCTGCTCCATTATTTTTCTAGAAAAAATCTGTTAACCAAGAAATTAAATTGGTGTGGCCTTATACACCCATTATAACTCCACGCTGAGCAAATACATGTATTAATGCACTTGAGACATTTGGCAAGAAATAAAACAACTCAGAACTGAAGATAACACTTTACAGGCATCAAAAAGTTTTTCTGTTTTCTTTCTTCTACAGTCATGCCAGTACTTCTTGGCTCTTAAAATAAAAAGGAAAGGTAACAGACAAGGAACTCTATTGCAGAGGCATCAGGAAACTAAAACAAATTTGTCAACATTTGGTCTTTACCTTTCCATTTGGTCACTTCACACTCTAAAAGCAAACTATTACATGATTGTGTATGCAGTAAACATGTCTCTTTCAGCTCAGCTATAAATTTACTTTATATTGATAAATACATTTGTTTACCAAGTATATATTATGTGATATACATGTTTATATAGCATATATAATTATTGTGATAACAGCAAGAAAAAATGATGAGGGATCATATAATATGTTTATCTAATTTTCTTATATTCTTATACACTTTGCACACAATGGAAAGAGGGGGATCAAATTTGTGGCAATGATTCTACCACTGTTGGGAGAATAAAAATGCTTCAAGACAAGGCAGTGTCAATCTCCTGTTAATGTGTGTCAAATACTGTCAGCAAAAATGTATCCAGAAAAATTCAGATTTCGTGTACACCTCAATAAAAACTGTGTTTCTTCAAAAGTATAATGTGAGTGAAAAATAAAATTGGTCTTCAGATTAATGTATTTAGCACTCTTAGACTGCTTTTTTGCACACTGATCTCAGTAAGTAAAAGCCTGGACCTACAGGGAAAATGCTTGTACAGTATGTAATAAAAATTATTACACTTTACAGTCTTATTAAAAAACAAAATCCATTTGACAGAAAAAAGGTAACACAAAAAGTTTCAATAACAGGTGACCTTACAGAAGTGTGCTGTTAAAACTTTGACCTTTGGCAATATGTAATATCCCAATGAAGATGCCAACGTCCTACTCCTTGTGTAGCAGGTACTCGTACATGACCAGGGTTAGGTATTCCTTCAGCTCACACAGCAAGTGGAAGTGTCCAGGTTGGACTGTGTCCCTGATGCACAGTCGGCACAGGTCCTGCAGTCTCCGTGGTCTGTCTGAGAAACAGAGAATATAGTAAATATCATGGGACAGCAATCATAGGCATAATTATGGTGTCTCATTATCATTATTTCTAATATAACTATAATACTCCTAATACTGAAGAATACATGCATATTGTTATCAAAGCATTAATGTAAAATTGTTACCTTGTAAACATAAAACATGATCAAATTATTGCTGTTCAGGGCGCAGCGTCCTATGGCGTGTAATAGTTGGTTGCCTGGCCTGTGTCCCGATTTTTCTTTGCAAAAAACCTGAATAAAGTGTGCATCCCGACTTTGGCTCTGACCTGAGGAGCCTACTTGAGAGTTGACATGTATCAAAAAAGGGTGTCCTTTATTCAGAAGAAATATGGTACTGTACCTCACTCAAAACACATGTACAAAACTGTCCTTTTTATGAAACTGAAGCAATTAAGATGCCTAGCAGACCGAGCCTGTCACACCAAACATTACCACTTACTTTTGATGTTTTCAAAAAACTTGAATGTCTCTGTTGTAGACCCAGCCCTCTTGGACATTGCCAGTGCAACTTGATACGGCGAGAGCATCAGCTTCTCCGACACCCTCATCGGGTCCATTCCGAAGTCGTACAGCAGTCTGGCAAACCTGACGTTATCTTTGAACACGGCCCCAAACATGGGGTTGAAGCCCCCCTGGTCCCAGACGTCCACCTTGGCCCCGTACATTAACAACAGTTTGGCCAGGTCATAGTCGACAGTGTCTGAGGCATGGTGCAGCGGCCACCCCTTCCCCAGGTTGGGGTTGGCCCCCTTTTCCAGAAAAGTCTGCAAGCACAAGAGCTTGCGGTACTGTATGGCGTTCACGAAAGGCGTGGTGCCCCTCTTGAAGGTGGAGATGTTCCAGTTGGCTCCGCAGTCAAGCAGGACCCTCGCGAGCTCCACGCCGACCGTTTCGTCCTTGTGCACGACGGCGAGGTGCAGCGGGGTGTGGCCCTGGTTGTTCTGGGCGTTGACGACCTCCCGGGAGGAGTTGAACTCCAGGATGGTCTGTGCTATGCGGATGTAGCCCCATCTGGCACATCCGTGTAGTGGGGTGTGGCCGCCGGTAGCCTCGTGGATGTCTGCTCTGGCTGTGGGAACACATGGAAAAATATGTCACTTAACAAAGTCAGATATAAATAATATAAATGTACATTTTATACCAGCCAACAAAGTATGTACTCTGTTATCATCTCTCTCCAATACAGTAGAGCTACAGCATCTCAATGACAGTACTTCATGTTCTTTACTGCTACGAGGGTCCACCTCACTTTCACATTTACAAACTGTAATATCTTTGACATACCGTAGTTCAAATATTTATTCACTAAACAGGTAGATTCTCGTAATTGATAGACCACCAACTTGACTAATTTGTTTGCATTCATTTTTCTTTTATCCACTTTGTAATTATGAAATGTATTTTGTCATTGTGTTTTATATTCATGTTCTCGAGTAGAAGGTGTTATAGAAGCAATTGCACTTTTTGCCTGATTCTTGTTAAATACATGTGTCTGAACAAATTTTTAAAAATATATCACGCAGTCATTGGCCAGTTTCACAGTCACAGATACCCATCTAACTCACAGCTTTAAACAGGATGGCTAGACTTTTGGGGAAGTGGTTCAGCTGATATTATTTCTCACCTCCATTTTCCAGCAGGAGGCGTGCACACCTGTCATGCCTGTACATGACAGCCAGGTGGAGTGCTGTCATCCCACTCTTCAGCACCATGTTAGGGTCCATGCCCTTCTGCAGGCAGTCCTGGAAATATGCAAAACAAACCGTTCAACTTCAACTGACAAGCATCCATGGTCAACTCTCATAATTCCACTCTTATAAGATGCAGCCATATCTAAACGTCATTATTAAGGTCTTCTAAAAATGTCTTGAACACTTGGATGTCAGGAATGTGCATACTTCAATGATGATGATGCATTAGTTATAAGTACATGTCATGTACATGTACTAGGCTTCTATTTGTTGTATTAGGGTTAGGGTTCCTGCCTAAAATATGATCAATGGTTATGATGGATGATTCTATTAGAATAAAGTAAGCCATGTACCAGTAGACCTTTCTGCAGATCCCATAGCATGCTGCTGGTAGACACAAAATCATGAATCATATGTATTACTGTATTAGTACGTAGGGGAGTCCCCACCTTGACCACAGCAGTATTGCCACTGCGAATGGCCCTTCTCCAACTCTGCCCACGGACACTTGCTCCACGTGTCACGCTTCTGCCGACTCTTCGGCATGTTGAAGCTCAACTCTGGAAGGAGAAAGATAATATAGTTACTGATTTTACTGATTAAAAAATTACTGAAAGTCCACTACATTGTATGATACTTTTTATTTATTTATTCATTTGGCTAACAAAGAAGCCGGGGTGTCCCAACTAGTCAAGGACTATTACTAAGGGACACCCTGATTGTATGATACAGAGCTCTATTATGCATTTCATACTTTATAGATTTAAAATACTTTGCATGTGCTGTGCCAACATCTGATTGTTAAACTTAAAAAGCATCAGAAATAATGAAGGAACAGAATAAAACGATATGTACACTGCAGTACTCAGAAAAGCCACCAGGAGGCCCAAAATTTACCTTGAGTCAAGGCTACTGCTTGACCTTCGTCTTCCCAAGACCTACCCACACTTGAAACACTGTCACTTTGACAATCCATCAGGAGCTATTCTGAGTTATGCTGGCCAAGGTAGGCAGAAACATAAACACACACAGATACATCAAAAACAAACACAAACCTATTATTAAAGCTTCTGGCCAACATGTTGGCTTAAATCTGACCATGGATACTGGACAGCAGCATCAAATATATTATTATTAAATATAAATTGCTACAAATCTCTTTTTCCTCAATGATACTCACTTTTTCTGTATCTCCTACCCATCTTTACCATTCTTGAATTTTCATCTATTCTATATTCAGCTTCAACATCAACTGGTTTTGTACTCCAGTCTACCACACTGTCCACACATTACTCTCATTCTACAATATCACCACAGTAACAAGTGCAAACATGGACATGATGCTATGATAGACAGTGTGTGCCAGAAATCACATTTAGCATTTATGTTTGGAACTTGTATTTACCAGTGTCAGGTATCCTGGCCAGTCAATATAAACAAGTAACGTTACATGTACATTATATTGTACACAGAATTCATACTACATTGTAGTATCACATTGTGGTTAGAATTCAAGTAGAAAATTTTAACTATTGTGAAATTGATGACACACGCTGGTATATTAACAACATTGGATTTCACATTGTTATAAACTTAAATGGACATAATAATATTATGAAATTTGCAGGAAATGACAAATCTCAAGTGAACCTGATCATGACAGACTTTCTCTAGTTAATCATAATACAGAAGACAGAACATGCAGCACCACTTACTATTCCACACTGATTTAACTGTTAGTAAGAGGCTAGCTGTCTGTCCCTTAACCTAGTTA